TATCCTGCACAGGGCATAGGATGAGGGTCACGCTTTTATAAGTACCAGTGTCCCATACCAAACCTCTGCCTCCTCTAGCTAATCTGTGCTCCCTTGCCCTGATACCCTGTGGCTGAGCTTGGTTTCACACTGCAGATCAAACGCAGCTCGTTGCTGCCAACTGGAAGTAAGGTTTCCTCCTATCTTCTTGTTCTTTAATTACTTTTCCAAAGAACTGAAGCAATCCCCTTCTCCAAAACCACATCACTGCATGAAGGAGGAGTTGCTGTTGTCTCTCTGGGTACTGGTTCAATATTTCCTCTTGCTGCTGGCGTTTTCCTTTGCAAAATAAGCAAATCTCAGCATGGCAATGAATAAATGAAAGGGTGAAACGTGTGTGCAGGGAGAACCAGGTTGAACTGCAGTGGTCGGGAGGACCCACTTCATGTGATGCCATTTACACCTGTGTTATGCTGGCTAGTGAGATTAAGTGTGTTCTAGTAAGCTTAAATAATAGGTTTTGCTGACCTGACTGCTGGAAAAGGGTTAACATTTACTCATATAGTAGTTCCCCTGAGAGGATGGAGACAAAGAGGACTGGTGAAAGCAGCTCAAGGTAACAGCTTCCCCATCTGCCGGTGGAAGAGAATGGGAGCTGAGATGCATCTACGCTGGCCATGGTCACTATAAAAGGGCTATAACCCTCCTGCCAGCTATGTGGAGGGTATTGAGTGTCTATAGGGTGTTAAGTGCCTCTCTTGTAGAAGTCCAGGGTCACCTCATGTCTCAGTGCAACCTCACGCTTTGGAGGTGATCCCACAAGGCTTCATCCAGAAAGGGGCAGACTTCAAGGTCAGCTTTTCTCCATTGCTATGTCCCTCTGCCTGCCTTTTGTTGGTCCTTCTTTAGAGAGGGGTTGAGGGTGAAATAAGGTTTATTCCCATCCAGGTATGTCTTAGAAGCACAAAGAATTAGGAAGTGAGTGACCAAGTCAATGTCCCAAATAGCTAAAGACATCTCAGGTGCCATTAGATGCCAGTCTTGCTTTCATCTGAATCAAGCTCAGGATGCCACCGGTGGCCTTGTCCTGGGGAACTATTTCTGCTGAGTTCAATGGACACAGGACCAGGTTAAGCTATGGGGGACCTTCTGAAGGGCTCTGCAGTTGGGTGGGGATGTCGAAGTGCCCTGGGAAGCTGGGAAAAGGCAGTTAGAGAACGGGAGGGAAAGGCCAAAGAAATGAAGCTGTTCAGAGCCTTCATGCAAGAAGAGTGAAGTGGTGGATAAATAGGAAAGGAGAGATCTGCAAGGGGTGATGGCAGAATGGGAAAATTCAACAAGGAAAACAACTGGGAACCTGATTTTGGACAAGAGGAAAAGTGGCTCCAGTGATTTTGGGGCTGGGCTTATCTTGGAGTGGGAGTGGTAAGAACCATCATGGCACAACTGGTCTGAATGAGACCTCATGTATCTTTATTCAAGCTCTCTTTTCCTCCAGGGACCATACCCAACCTCTCAGCCCCATGACAGCTCTGCTGTGTCTCTGCACCAGCCCCATCTCTGCTTTCTAGGCCTCAGGCTAAGGAAGGACAAGGGCATGAGCAACAAAGGCTGGTTTCCTTTCAATGGTTTCTTAAGGCAGAGGTGGTTGGGGATCAGCAAACACTGCTGGACCTCGCCCTGCTTTTATCTGATGAATTATGTGTTGGGACGAGACATTGTGCTAAATATTAAGCCTAAAGTTTAGAAAATGGAAAGTCTTTACTCCCCAGGAAGGTTGGCATTGAGGCGAGTGTGACTGCCCGTGAATGCTCCTCTTTGTTTGCCTTCCCTTACTCTCCCTTGATTGCTTTGAAATATTGCTGATTGCTTGAGTAGCTGAGAAGCCTCTCTTGGAAAGGTCCCAAATATGCTTCAGCGCAGTTTATTTCTATGATTTGCACTTGGCCTTGTTTGATATTCCCCCCCCCTTTCCTTGGTTGACAATTAAAGAACCAATTTCATTCCTCAGCCCTGCTCCATCCCTTTGATGGAGGCTCTTTGGCTCTAGGGTTTGGTAGCAACATAGAGGGTTGTTCAGCTCCAGGTGTTCACATCTACTGCTCAACAACCAAATATGAAAGTACTACGTGAACTGAGAACAGTTCCTTGGGGAAGGGTGGCACCCAAACAAGTTAGCAGCTAGATGGGCCCCATCTCTACGGCCCCACACTGAGATGGAGATGCTGGACACCTTTGGTTTCTTCTTGTTGCTCAGCGTGGTCATCCTTGCGGATTAGGACAGAGGAGCTGGATGTGGTCGTGATGCAGGTGCCTGTAGATATCCCTGAGCTAGTGCCAAGCAAATTAGGCTTGAGAATGGGAAATTTCATTTCAGCTGTGCTGGCACAGGGCTGTGCTGGGTTATTAACTGAGCAGCACTGCTCTGCCACCCCAGCTAGCTCACTTATGTACCACGTAATCAGGTGTTAAAGATTTATCACAGAATCCCAGAATGGTTTGGATTGGAAGGGACCTTAAAGCTCATCCAGCTCCAACCCCTTATCTCCATACTGTATTCCAGGGTTGCTAAACACGAGAAGGAGAACTTAGAATGGTTTGTGTTGGAAGGGACCTTAAGATCACCCAGCTCCAACCCCTGCCACGGGCAGGGACACCTTCCACTAGAGCAGCTTGCTCCAAGCCCTGTGTCCAACCTGGCTTTGAACACTGCCAGGGATGGGGCAGCCACAGCTTCTCTGGGCACCCTGTGCCAGCACCTCAGCACCCTCACAGGGAAGAGCTTCTGCCTAAGAGCTCATCTCAGTCTCCCCCCTGGCAGGTTAAAGCCATTCCCCTTGGCCTGGCCCTACAGGCCCTTGTCCAAAGCCCCTCTCCAGCTTTCCTGCAGCCCCTTTAGGCACTGAGAAGCCAACCAGGAGGTCTGGACACAGCCAGCCTCATCATCGCTGTGACTGGTGCAGGCTGTAGATGAGACTGACCCCCATCATGCTGCAAACTGCCTTATCATTAGTGACCCTGGAGACAGAAAAGGGCAAGAGAGCCCATTGGGTTGCTTCTTGTATTTCTTCTGAATACAGCAAGAAGCCACATACGCCCAGGAAGAACTCCAGTGGACTTGGATTAAAACCACAACTCCTGCCATAGTTTTGGGCACCTCCAAATGGCAATTGCAGCCCTGCTCTGCTGGAAAGGCACTTGAGCTGCATGGCACAAGCATCTCCTGATTGCCCCACTCAGGGCTTGTGGAAAGATTCAATTGCTGAATGCAGATACAATTGCAATTAAGCCTATTCAGCCTGATAACGAGGCATTCAGGGCTTTAGGGAGCTTTATATGGTTCAATTAGATTCAGTTGTTAAGCCTGAGCCTCAAGGAGTGCTCCTCTGAAGCCTGGGATTTGCAGGCAATCCTATTGCTTAAATCCTGCAGAGCTTTGGGTGATGTTTTCAGCCAGGAATGGTCTGAGTAGAGGGAAGAAGATGTGAGTATATATGGTCAGGAAGCAGTTAATTCCTGGGATCCTTTGCTGGAGTGGGAAAATGTCAGCCTAAGTGTTCTCCCTGCGGGCTCAAGCTGGTGGGGAGGGATGGGAAGAGCTGCACTGCTCTATCCTTACTGTTAAACCTACACACCTGGAAGCAGACACTGATTTATGTCTTCTAGCAGCCGTTTGAGGGTACTCTTATTTGCTGATGGGGCTGTGATGGTCCCAGAAGCAGTAATCAAACGTGGAGCCCTGGGGACGCGTTGTACATCCTCTTCATCTATCTCCCCATCCCCTTTGGCTTCACCTGGACCTCCAGGGTCAGGATGGGGCTGGGATTCCCTCCTGCTTCATATCTCAACCCAGTGTGTTCCTGCTCACCCTGGGGGCTCCTGTCTTTCACTCTTCCCTTATGTCTTTGACCTCTTTGGCCTGTTTATTATCACTTGACCAGAGGCTGGGATGGATAGGACCTACTGTGATATGACCTGTTCTTCACCGGATCTGGAGTTCTCAGGACCCCTGGCACTGCAAAACAACTGGTGGTGTGGGGAACAGCCCCTGTTTTGAGCACCAAAATCAGGATTTTGGGACGTTCAGTCCCTGGTTCTTCCACTGGGTCTTTCCCTGAGCTGAAATCTCTGTTTATGTGGTGTAAGCTCAAGGGGTGGCTGAAGGGGGTTTCACCCCACTACTGAACTGCCACGGGGTGTCTCTGGCTTTGATAGTGATAGATGTGGGAGGTGGTTGTGAATGGGGGTCCCTTATGCTCCATGAAGGTGATATGTTGCATGTGCTCCTCAGGCCCTCTTTGGCACTGATCTCCTTCCTAGTAGTAGGGGGCTTTGTCTTCCAGTCTCACCCATTCTCAGCCCTGCAAAGAGAGCCTACCCATCTCATCCAGAGCTCTGTGGTCACTCCACCATCCCCATGTGGTGCTGGTGTCCTTTTTGGGGTCATTTCTCACATATGGTAAATATTATGGGGTCATTTCCCATATATCCAACAGGGTTTGCCTATCAAATACACCTGCATTCCCTTCACCACCCTGTGCCTCAGTTTCTTAGTGTCACTGCTAACATCCTCCGTCTAAGAGACCATCTCTAAAAAGCTCTTTGCTGTTGTGAGATGAGACAGATGAAGTGAAATCATGATTTGAGACCTCTTGACTCAGGCCCCTCCATACCCTCCCAGCAATGTCAGACCCCTGAATCAGACCCATATATCAGTTTTGCACCCCGCTTCTGGCATTTCCCAGCCTCTCCTGCTGCTAATATGAACCTGAGCTCTTTGACCTCCTGGAAACAGAGACTTCCCCTCCCCTCCTCCCAACCTTTTCCCCACACTGGCCCCTTCCTCTGCAAACATCCCAGTTATTTTATTACTATTTTGTGCCCACAAGGTAAGGATTTGTGTTTTCCCTCCCCTCCTCTTCACTCCAGCATTCCTCTGGGGTGGCATCCCCTATCCCAGCCTCCCCTCCACTGCTTCCATCCCAGCTGCCGGCCAGGAGTCGGAGGTGGAAGAGGGGGGAACGCCCGGAGCAGCCCCTCCTCCTGCCTCATAACTTCTTCTTCCAAGCGTGCAGGGAGTTTCACTGCAGCCCAGCCGATGCTGATGCCTGTTCCTGGGGCTGTTGGACCCTCTCATCCATAGGGAGAAGCCAACGCACGGTGGCGTGGCCCAGGTAAGCAGTGCTGTCTGTCTGTCCCTCGCTGCCTGTCTGTCCCTCTGCCCTGTTACTGGGTTTTCTATGCTCTGTCGTGGGTGTTTCTGCTCTCCCCATTCTCGGGTTGCAGTGAAATGAACCGTGGCATCAAAGGCGTGAGAACGGGATGGGGAGGATGAGGAGGATGCAAAAAGCCTCCCAGCTTCCCTGTGCATGGCCCAAACCCCTCGCTGCTGTTTCAGAAGTGTCTGAGGTGCCCCAAACTTGCCTGAAATCTGGATTTTGGGGTGAATTTGCACTTCCCACGATGGGGGGTGGTTCAGGGGCATCAGCTGGTTGTGGAGGCAGGGAGAGGTGGTGAAGTGCTGTTGTGTGCAGCACATGGTGGGTTGGTTGGGGGGGGGGGGTGATGTGTTGTGGGAGGAATTGGGTTCCTGTTGCTTCCTTTGATGCACACATGATGTCTGAGCATTGCAATGGGCAGACTCTGGCCCCAGTGAATTTCCCATCAGTGGAATAAGGAGCTATTCCTTAATACGGAGTTAGTTTTCTTCTAATCTTGTTCAGTTGGATTGCGAGAGGTGGATGGTGGTGAATAGCATGAGCTGAAAGCAAATCCTGGATCAAAGCTTTAACAGCAACGGGGCAGACCCCACTGGAACTGGTTATAACTCCAGACAGAATGGATATTTCAGTGGTTTATGGGAGAAGCAGCAGAAGGGGATGGTCTGGGACCATTCCTCTCTGGGAAGGAAGGATGATTTCAGGGGTGGGATTCTGCTTTCCTACATCTGGCCCCAGACTAATGGAGCTTTGCAATGAATGCAGTGATTGCTTGGGTGCAACCACATGTGTGTAGCTCCTGATTCGAGGGTCTTTACTGACCTAGCTTCAAGTCACACAACCCAGCTTTTCCTGCCTCAGTAGTGGTTATGGTGACTGAGATCCTTCAGCACCAGCCCCCCCCACCTCCCCCTGTAGATGCTGACATGATGTCTCGCAGGGAGCAGCAGTGATTACCAATTCCAGTTGGCTGCTCTCCATCGTAGGCCCAAAATAATGTGATTTCTGCTTGCAATCAGGGATTACAAGAAAGTGCCTTTCTTCCGGGGAGAGGAGAAAATTGGCCACCAGGCAGATGATTCATGGGGTGTCTGCAGAGTCTTTGTGGCTCTAATGAAGTGATGGAGTCTGCGGAAGTCGCTCCATTGAATGGATCAGGAGGAGCAGAAACGGGATGGATGATGCTGTTTGGGCTCCCCAGTGCTTTGCAGACATCTCTCCTCCTGAATCTAGTTGAAGATGTCCCTGCTCATTGCAGGGGGGTTGGACTAGATGAGCTTTGAAGGTCCTGTCCATCCAAACCATTCTGTGATCATATGATTCAATGATTCCAGTGCTCCAAGCAGCATCATGTGCATGGGGAGATGTGTTGGACCAGGAGGTGCTTAAGGCTGTGTTTGTGAATATGAGGTTGGCACATGAATATGGGGCCGTGTTCCCACCTGCAGGTCCTGGCACTGTCCTCAGCCTGGTTTATACAATGGGAACTGGTGGGGTGGTATCTCCTCTCCAGAAGCTGTTTAGAACAGCAGCTACTCAGGGCTTTCTCACTGGAACAGCTCTGTCAGCTCTCCCTGGTCTTAAATATCAGTGCACTGGGGCTCATGGCTGGAAATGGGTTTATGTGCGTGGAAGCTTGTCTGCTTTTTCCACCCAGCTTTCCCAAACATTGCTTATGTTTCAGCAATCCTCAGATCTTCCTGTCCCAAATAGTGCCTCCCCATCAGATTAGTTCTTCTGGCCCTGACAGTGGATAAGGGAAAAAGAGAAGAAAAGCAGCAGGCATCTCCAATTCCTTTGTCTGGCTACCTGGACCCTTGCTCCTGTTCATGATGTCCCCTTTCCCATAGGAAAGGTCACCCTGCCATGGTAGGGAGCAGACCTGCAACCACTGCAGGAGGGAGCCAGAGCTAAGATCTGGGGACCTTTCACACCTGTGCTTTGAAATAGAGCTTCCCCTCTGCTCAAACAGGGAGCAGAGGTCTGTGTAAATGGGAAACCTGGGGAAGGATGGGTGAGTGCGACTGTTTGCTGGGGTAAATGGTGGTTTGGGTTTACTGTAGCACCAGGTGGTGGTGAAAGGTGGGTGATGTCTTCATTTCAGGCTCGCCTTTGAGTGCAAGGAAGGCAATAAAGAAATGCATCTGAAAAGTGAGAGATGTGGGCTTAAATCCTTCCACAGACCCCACTGGTTGGCTCCAGCTCATGGACTGGTTGCTCTTGCCCTGGCTGGGAAGTGGGTGCCTCTTTCCTGTTCACTGTCCATAAATCCTCCTTCCCTGTGTCTTGGGTGAACACAGACTCAGCAGCAACTCTGGGAGAGCGGGAGGAATAGAGAGGAATGTCCAAAATGGGTTTAGCTGCATCCATGGGAGCTTTGATTGGAGCATCCTGCTGAACAGGATGGACAGTTGGTCCATAAAACCCTGTCTAGATGGATACAGGGAGCCAGTTCTCAGTTCCTCAACCATTAACACCAGTTTATAGCGGGTATAAAATATGATTGCACAGAACAGCAGGTTTGTAGAGAGGTAAAAAATAATGGTGTATAGTAAAAATGGGAAGTTATGCCAGTGCTGTATGATCAGGGAGATGTCAGCCTGTCACAATTTGCTTCAATGCCCCAGCAATCCAGCCAGTACTGAACATGAGACTTGGGGGACCAGAATAGTCCAAATCAAGATGTAAACCTAGTGGCACCGTCTCAGCAGGATGCAAATGCCAGGGAACTATGGGTAGGTGCATTTGGGAAGGGTTTCACTTGCTTAATAGAACCTGAAGCTGAGATCTGTGGTGCTTCCATCCCTTTCAGCAGAGACTGTTAACACAAGGGCAGCTGGTACTTGCATTGTGACCGTGTCAGGAGACAGCAGGGAACATTCAGGGCCCATCCTCATCCTGGGAGGCTTTGTTAAACATAATCTGCAGGGGTCATCTGTTATGGTGGGTTTGTGGTGCCCCGCTGAGGTTGGCTCCTGATCAGGGTGTAGATTTAGGTCGTACGTCCTGGAGGGTGTCTGTGAGGTTGGATGGGGTTGAAAGAGTAGATTGGCAGGGTTAGGCTGCCTGCAATGGGTCCTGAGCAGAAGATGGAACATGCAAGTCCCATGCAGAAGCCCTTCGTCCCTTGCTTGCTCCAACATGGTCCTTGTTCCAGCAAGATGGAATTGAATAGCCTGGAGGCAATGAAATGGCATCAGCCCAGAGGCAACAGGGATCTGCTTGTGGAATTTACCCAGCCACAAAACCAAGAGGCTCACGGGGCATGCAGGACCTCAGGCTGGGATCTGTGTTTTCTTTGTCCCAGCTCCCAGTCCCCTCAAGTCCTGCTCAGCAGCACTTTGCAATGTGAATACCGTGGAAAAGATCCAGCCTAAGTGAGTAACCTGAGGAATGCTGCCTGGCTGCCAGCCCAGCAGTCAATCCCTTCATCAATTGACTTCCCAAGCCTTTTTTTCCCACCAGCATCCCCACCACCATCTATTGATCTCCTTGTCTGGAAATATTGCCTTTGACTCCATCAATACATAATCCCATGGGACCTTTCACCTGCTTTATGGGAAGACAGAAGCATCATCTCGTGCATGCCCCTGATGACAACAGGGTAAAAACCCCCCAAATAACACTTCAAACTGTGATACCCATTCAATGGGCAGCTCCTGTCTCTGTGCCACACGTGCTGAGGGATCTCCCATCACCTCACAGCCAAAAGCAGGGTGGCTCATTTAAAAGCTGAGCATTAAACTGAATGGAGGCAGGAGAAAGAAGCTGAAGTTGGTTTCAAGGTGTCTGGGAATGCACTCAAGTACTGTTTAACCACCATCACTTACTTCTCTTTCAGGTTTTTCTCTTCCAAATGTATCACTCATTTTTAAGTAGGATTCACGTTGTGATGCTTCTCAGCTTGTGGATGCCCAGGTGATGCTATCAAAGGCTGCATTAGGATCGGAAGCCCAGTGGGGAGGCCTATAGGATTGAAGCAGAGCCATTTGTTCCATGTAGACCTCTGATGAGCAGTGAAAACCCTCCTTCAGAGTTACCCACCCCGAACCTTCACTGTGCTCTTGGCATTGCTTGCAAGAAGGAGAGATTAGGGGTGAGCAGCAAACCCTCTGTTGCTGCCTCCAAGCAAAACCATCAATCCCCCTCAAAAGTGGGTCTCTGGGAGAGGAAGGAAGAGGCTTGCTGGAGATGATCTTCACAACCACCATCCAATTGTAACATTCAGCTTGGAAAAGTTTCCAAGTTTAGCTAGCAAGGTATTTTTCCCATTGTTAATGTGAAAACCTGACACGTGGGGAGTCACCGTGGTGTGGAGGAAAGGAGAGGAGGGTCCAGCTTTCATTTACAGGACTCATAAGGTATCATTGTGCTTTTCCCCTTGGTGCTTCTAAGCTGCAGTGCTCCATCCAATGCTCCTGGATGCTGCTTGGGTAGCTTCTGCAGGAGGAGGAAGGTGGCAAAACCAGCCCCAGTTGGACACTACTCTACAAGCTGTCCCATACTGGGGGAAGAGAACCTGCCAGTTATCTCCACCTGTTTGTCACCTTTCCATTAGCCTTGCTGCCCTCTCCCCAGTGGGGAATGGCCCAGATCCCAAGGAGCTCTCTCCTCCATGAAGTTTTGCCCTTAACTGGCTGTTTCCATCAGATCTGAGCAAATCCTAACCTGTGCTTTGCTCCTTGTTGTGTGACTCCAATATGAACGCTGCAGAAGCTGCGCCATAGGATATTGGAGCCTGATGGATGAGAAGAAGATGGGCACAAACCACCCCTTCGCCATGTCTCCCACCCTGGAGGAAAGCCATAGCCAGCCCTTGCTGTGCTCTGAGGAGGCCTATTGAGATGTTAATCCAGCTGCTTTTATACATGATCCCCATCTCCCCACCACGTTTCCTATAGGAAGCAACAGCTCTGGGGTCTAAACCTCATGTTGGTGGGACTGGGAAGCCAGCA